GAAGGTCTCCAAACTCAGAAAGGTATGTTCTTGAAATATGAGTGAGGACCTTTAAAATGCTTTCAGCAGCAAGAAGGTTTTCACTGCTGTCTTACAAATAAAGACATTTCTAATACAGTATTAATATTTCTTGATATTTTAGTAAAAAAAAATATATATATATATATATATATATATATATATATATATATATATTTTTTTTTTTTTTTTTTTTTTTAATAATACATCTTTTGCATTGCTCTTTTATATTTCAGTCAAAACTTGTCTCATTTCCTGTCCGTAATAAATGTTTTTTGTAAGTTAACTTTAAATATCCCAGAATATGAATAATTAAAGGTTTTAATTTACGCTCCGGGGCAACATGTTGGCATAGTTGGTGCCACTGTTGCCTTGCAGCAAAAACGTTGCGGTTTGAGTTTGCGTGCGTGCTCTACTCCCAGTCCAAAAATAAATGTCCCGTTAGTGTGTGTGTGTGGTGTGTGTGTGTGTGTGTGTGTGTTGTGTGTGTGTGTGTGTGGGTGTGGGGTGTGTGTGTAAAGGTTTTAGTGTTTCATTTGTTTTGTTTGTTTTTTTTATTTTTAATCCACCCAAATTTGTTTTCTTGCAGTTTTTCATTCTACATTGAAGGTTTCAGTCAGGAATCAGGCTGTTCAGAATTTTCAGGGTTTTGGAGGAAAATTCAGCTCGATATTCTCAGTCGACAAGAAGATGAATCCAAATATCACTGTTTGCCTTCGTTGCTGCTCAGGTATTGATTCTTTAATGCTCCTCGGCTTGACTAATGTCCTTACCAGACATGTGAGCAAGCGGTGGTCCTGCCGCTGCACTGCAGTTTATCTCCAAACATTTGCTATCTTGCTTTGTTGTGATTCCTGCTTCATATTTGCTCCACTTGGAACTTCTGAGGAGTTTTTCCTCTCATCGTTTGTGGCGTAAGGCCAGAGCAGAAGCTCCTCTCCCCCCAACTCGACTACACAGCCTGTCAAACCAGATAAGGCAAATTGCTGGTGTCTGCACTGTAGTCGTGTCCTCCTGCCCTCGTTTCTTCGTTACAAGTGGATATGCCTTCCCCTCAATCTACAGCTTGTCTCTATCTTGGGTAACATAGCTGATACTTATTGGACACAGCCAGGGTTCAGAAAGGCTGTATTTGTGAGAGTAAGCACTGTATGGCTCACACACATGCTGCATTTTAAGGAATCAGAGGTCTGCCGCCTGCCGTTAGCTCCACACAGGATCAGCGGGGCTCTGGGTGGCACGTTGAAGAAAGACAGCAAAGAGGAACAAAGAAGGACAGGGTGCAATTAAGACACGCTCCCTTTCGTCCCCTACCACTCTCTGTGCTCGCTGCGTGTCACCAAGGTGACATTGCTCAGAGCGCTTCAGTTTTTTATCACATATGGAGGCTCGGCCTTACGCTGGCGCCATTAATCATCTCAGAAGCTGTGATGTCAACATGAAATACGTTTTATTTCCCCCCACATGATTCAAATTAGCCTTTTATCAAACAAATTATTACCTGGTGTAATGTCTCCCAGGTAGGAATGGATTTGTGTTGGGCAGCGCACTCAGGAATGATGATTTCTAAATGGAGGCAGCAGGCAGAGTTTGTGCAGATGACATCTTGGCCCTTGCTTAATAATTCATGTAATGACTCCTCTTCTGGTTTTCTATTTTCATGGCCTTCAGGCCTCCTCAGTGTCTCTTTAACCATCAGTTTTATAGACAGTTATATTTGGACTGTTTGACTGTCTTCCTGTCATTGTTTGAGTGTGTGAGTAGCTGCAGGTTTAGCTGCGCCTGAGTTAGACATACGGCCACTACCAATAACAAGCAACCTAAAAATAATGGCTGAAATGATCCGTTAGACTGTTCCTGCAATTTATAGCTCGTTTAACGAGATGCCAGAGGAAGCCCCACTGCCGGTCAGCTGGCTGAAAGAAGACAGCCAGGCCTTTCTTTACCTTAAGTGAAAGACAAATTTGACTGTTTGCAAATATTACCAATTGCAAATTATAGTGACTGATGAGTGGAAACTAAAACGACGTCATCCTTTCATCTTCCCTGCTAAATAATTAGATCAGCTGTTGCTCTCTGTTTTAATTGTAACCAGTGACATCCTGTTTTTTAGAAATGAAGAGCATCGTATTGTAAGTCTGTGTTATCTTTGAGGTTTCCATACAGTCAGACTCTCTGGTTCTCTACATTCACCACGAGGAGAGAAGCCATCCATCGTCTCTGAGCTAGTAACTTCTCCCAGAAATTGAAGCCACCTCCACCCGTTCATATTTCTAATCGATGAGCTGACGCGTCCCGAGTGGCTGATCCATTCAGCTGCCATGCTTGTTCTTTGACTTCTCCCCTGCAGAATCTGTCTGGAGACTTTTCTGCAGCCTGTGCAGGACTTTGTGAATAAATTGTTTTACTGAATCTCGCTTTTGGGAAATCATATCACAGTTCTCTGAGTTCTCGTCCAGACTTAGAAGTGCAAAATAGTTCTGGATGCATGTTTGTGGAATCCAAAACCCCTTTTTAGTGAAGACACTGTAGGAGTCCCGTCGCCCCCACTAACACCACCTCCTACAGCCTGGAGCTCCGGATAGTCACAAGCCAAATTCCCATCAGTGGAGCTCTCCAGCTGAGACATCGCAAGCTTGATCCTCACAACAATCATCAGCAGTAATGTGTCATGGCCAAGTGTCCTTGAGGGAGGAAAGCTGAACCTTAATCTGCTCTCTCACACTAAGCTGGCAGAAGACATTGTGTGTGAGAGAAAAATCAAAGTAAAAGAGTACAGTGTCAATAGTATGTGTGGGTGTAATGGTGGGGGGGTTGCTGGTGATTGATAGCAGTATTTAATCTATTCCATTACACTGTCTAATAGCCTATGGGAAGACTTGTGTGTACAGTAAACTGTGATGGAAGTGTAAATGGAAAGAATGGGAGTGACTTGCCAGGATGACTTCAGCATCCTTCTTTTTTTAATTCTTTTAAGCTGAACGTCTGCCAAACTGTGAGACGGCTGCAACGTTGACACTCATCCATGTCCTACACACCCAGCTGCATCCTGCATATTAGCAACATTGCTGTCTTCATGTGAATGTTAAGAAGTCATTACGCAAACAGACATTAAAATTCAGATCAAATTATACAGCTTATTTGTCACTTCTGATGTGTTCATTTTTTCCCGGGCTCAGCCTCAACCTTTCAGCTCACAGAGTGTTTTCATCGCGCTGTGTGTGTTCTTTTCAATGTGCCGACAAATGGATCACAGTTCAATTAAAGTCCCAAGGTCACACGATTCCAGGCGCTGCGCGGAGAGCCTCGTCCAGGACCTATTTGTCTTGGTTAGAGGCTCATGTATAATGCTGTCAGGTACAGAAGACGAATTGGTCAGATCGTCAGGAGTCTCACTGGTCTGCGTCTTCATTTGAATTTGCCCTTCAATCAGCTAAATCAATGAGAGGAACTAATCAGAGGAGGGACAAGCTGCACACTTAATTTCACATATATTGAGGGTTGCAGTGGCTCGCGGTGTGGCTCAGTGGGAGTACAGCATTATGTGGCCGTTCAGTGGTGTCATAGATCCACTAATTAGGACAGAGGCAGAGTGAAATCACACAAGTTGCTGGATGTGAATAATTAAGTGCTCCAAGCATGCACTTCTTCCCTTTGATGTGTTTTTTTCCCACTTTGAAGAATGCCCCACCATACCCCCACCATACCCCGCTCTGAAGTCAGCTCCTTGTTAAAATATTAATCTGTTATGACTCACCACATTTAGTGAGTCCTCTGCGTAACATATGGGCCATCATTAAGACGGCGTCCACATCTCCATGTTTATGTTTACTGCCTCTCTGTGACTTGGGGAAGCGCTCTCCCTGTCAAGTCAGAAGAACATCATTTCATATAAAATATGATTCAGCTTCATGGAGGGTTTTCAGGAATCCGCTGGGGCGGGGCCGTGGCTCGGCCATGCTGATGGTCAGCATGCTGCCTGTGCAGCCTCCAGTCCCTGAGCTATTTAAATCACATTATTGTCTGTGCAAGAGGTTAGTTATGTGGATTAGTTGTGAGCAGCCAGTGTCTCACCTGCAATGGAAGAAAACTTCTCCAGTGGGAGTCAGGCTAAATACTGAGGGAGAATTAAGACCCACCCATTTGAAGCTCACTTTGATGTAAATGTCATATTTTCCTAGACTTTCCACAGACATCCAGCTGGTAACTATGATAACAATCCCAATGAAAAGGTGACATCAAACCTTAAGGTTTAAAAAGTATTAAGTACGTTTTTACAACAGATAAAACTGCTGTATTTTTTTCTTTCCATTTGAATAATTTGTCTCTGAGGAACACCAAGGACGCAAACACTGCATTAATTTCCTTGATACTATTTAGGGGTAAAATAATAATACAAGCTGAAGGTGTATTTCATATTTCATTTATAAATTTGGATATCTAGAAAAACAAATGCATTCTTATGGTTTTGGCTGTTCATCCACACAAAAGCTCAATTTAATATCACTAAAAAATATTATTCATAAAAATTCAGACCAAATAGAGATTTGTGTTTGCATGTGTAGATGGAAAAACAGACTTTATATTTTAATGTGCTTTTTAAAAGAAGTTTAATGTGTATATCTGTCCATCCAAATGAGCTTCCTGGCACCAGGTCTAATTCCTAACAAGACTGGACAAATGGACAGATGGACAGACAGATGTCTTATTTGCCTCTGTCCTGGTGTATCACTAAAACCAAAAACGCATAAAAATCATTGTCTTCAGCTGTCAGTGGGTTATTGGATTTGTATGGTCATGCATGCATGTTTAGCCTTTTCTCGTAATAAACAAATGTCCTGCCATCCAGTGCATTTAGTCCGTCTTTTCTCATCATCATATCCTGTGGTTTGATAACTGAATAATGAGTCAGTAATGTCATGCCAATAACAAACAGCAGCCATGCTTTCACACCTGTGAATAACTGCTGTGCTGTTTCCCAGGAATCCTTTATAAGGGCAGCGGCGAGAACCAGTTCATCTCTCTCCAGCCCCCAGTGATTTCTACGGTGATGGGGAACGGACGGCGCAGGAGCATCTCATGTCCCAGCTGTAACGGGCAAGCTCAGGGCAACAAGCTGCTGGCGCCGGTTGCTCTGGCCTGGGGCATCGATGGAAGCCTTTACGTCGGTGATTTCAACTTCATCCGCCGCATCTACCCATCTGGGAACGTGACAAGCATCATGGAGCTCAGGTAGGAGAAAAATGGTACAGCATTTGTAAAGTTACAGAAACAAAGGTGATACATGCATCCATATAGACAATTTAATCAAAGATAATTATCAGTTATAAAAAGCTAACAATATTAGCTACAGCTTAATATTGTGTATACCTAAATATATTTATTTAGCATAATAATTCAGCTAAAATATTTACCTAATGTCTAATATTTATGTGGTATTTAACTCAATGAACAATATTTATGTGTAGCTGAGTAATTAGCTACTTATGATTTATACACACATGTACAAATGTAGCTAGACTCAAAAACTGCTTATAGCAATAGCTAAACATTGATTTTGTGTAGATAGCTATTTTCATAATTAACTAGAAAAGCGAACATTGACTGCATATAATAATATTTAACTGTATCTAAAAGCTACATAAAACAATACAGTACTTAGCTAAATGTGTAAATATTTAGCTGCAGGTAAGTATTTTTATGGATGCGGTGTACATTTTTTAACTGATATATTGATTCATTTCAAATTAAGATGCACTGCTTTGCCCCAGTATTTGCCCCTTAATTCTTCTTTACTTTTATTTCTGTCACCCATAAATTTTTCTAATCACTAAGACAACTTTTAAATCAGACAAAGAAGAAATGTAATGAAATAAACAAACCCAACCAATCTGCCGCAGATTGGTTAGGTTTGTTTATTGTTGTATATTTATGAAGGTTTTGTGAACATGATAGACAATGAAAAAGGGGAAAAATTACACAATGCACTTTCACTGACCCTTAAATTATGATGTAATGAAGGATCTGTCTCGTCATTGCTGTGTGGAGTTCAGCATGGTGAGGGAAAACTAAAATGGCACGGTGGGCAGACTTTAATTCACACATCTTTCCACTCCTCATAGAAATTTGAAATCTTTTCCCCATCCATCTCCATAATTAGGAAAGACATCCTGTCTTCAGCGTGTAATTGGGATGATTTACGTCCTCATGCCAAGTTGGCTTCTCTCTGCAATGACTCTGATTCGGCCAGTTGGCTTATTTTAAAGTGGCAGATGTTGATTAAATGTACATTGGGCCTTCACCCTCGGCGAGACGCATACATGACAAAAATAACATGAAAATCTTCTTAAAATGATGGAGGTCACTGCACTGTTGGCTGTCTGTTCACTGATTATGAGAGTTAATATCAGGATTAAAAGGGTGACTGTTTAGAGCAAATTTGAATTGGAAGGCGAACATGCTAATCCACCCTGGAAACCTGCTAATGCACCTGCACAGGCATCCGCCTCTACATAACGGATGTTGGAAATGATGTAGCGGTTGGATGAAAAGCAGGGCGCCGCTATAAACCAACATGCACGCTCAGCAACACTTTACCAGACGAATAATGGTCTACATCTCCAAGAGGCTAATAACTCATGTTAGCTTTGTTAAATTAAACAAAATAAAACTGTGAAATCTCTTTGCGTCACACTGTAGAAAAAGGCCAACAGTTTTACAGAGAATGGTGTGTCAGAAATCGATCGTTTTAGAGCAAACATGCACTTGGTTTCAATCATGCCGCCTTGTACAAACGGAAACATCCTGAACCTCCATCAGCCAGTTTTCGCTTTAAGCCTGTGTTTATATTCTGGATTCAGTGGTCAGTGTAGCAAATGGCTGAATCAATATTTCAATATGAGCGGTCAAATTGAGAATAGCAGTGGTAATACCGGATGGTGCTTCATGAACACAGGAGGACATGTTTCCCTCTCTGTGGGTAATAACTCCACCTCTGCGCCGTCTGCCAAACAGACTGTCATTGCATGTGACCTTCTCTGCTGGCTGTGTTGATTCTTCAAGGCGATGACTTTGACTTTCTTCATTTCTTCACCAAGCTCTTGTTTGCCCGTTTTACATGAGTTTTGCTGAAATCTCACAAATCTTGTAAATTCTGAAAAATCTACTGGAGAGTCAGTCATCCATAAATCAAAGAAATGGCAAAAGAGAGCCATATAAATACTAACAGAACATTTCTAACTATAATGTTATTCTCTGTCCTCTTTTTCTGCCGCTTCCTGTCATAGAAATAAAGACTTTAGACACAGGTAGGTAAATTATTATAGTGCATGTTTTATTCTGTCCTTTCTGCATGTCACTGTCTCTGAAAATACTTGAGTTATTTGTAATCCTTTTGTTGCTGGATCACAGTGAGAAGAATCGACTGGAACTGTGCTACATTGATTTAGATTTTATTTTATACACTGATACTTTTTGACATTTCCCAGTTATGAATCTGGGATTTCATGTGGGGTTCCTCAAGGCTCTGTTCTTATCCCACTTTATTTCCAAATGTAAATGCCCCCATTATATTAAATTTGTGACGCTTTTGTATTATCTTGTATTGTTTTGGCCTCTAAAATGCAATACTGGAGATCAGCGATCAAGTAGAGTCAGTTAGACAAAATGCAACAAAAAATGCAAAGAAACATAGGCTCTGTGATTGACTGAGGCTGGAATAAAACATTTCCTGTCTAAATAGAATGCAAACAAAGTTATTCATACTTTTATTTTCAGTTTGAATCATTGCAAATTTAGATTATTTCCCAGGCTACTTCTCTGAAAAGGATACATTTAGATGATCTCGTAAGGCACTTTACAGTATTAACAGACTCTCTAAAAATCTTAGACGCGTCCTGATTCTCCTTTGAATCAGGACTAAAAACATTTCTCTCTTCTGCAGCTTCCATACAAAAGTCAACAATTACCTCATCATTTCACTTTCAAAATGAAATGATGATGTTTTTTATTATAAAAAATAAAAGCAATTTTTTAAAATGTACATTTTAACATTTTTGAATAGATTTATGTTTTTCAATGCAATTTCCTTTACATTTTTGTCCTTTAATTGCAAAGCCTTTTAGATAGCTTTGTCTATCTAAAAGGCACCACACAAATACATTTTATTTGCTTTTTACACTCATTTAAGCACCGGCAATTGACTTTTGTAATTATAGCAAATCAGTGATGGTTTGATTACATCTAAACACGAGGGAAAGCACACAGATTTTCAGAATTAGTACATCTGCTTTATGTAAAAGAGGGAAACATGCATAAGGAGCCTTAACCGATTTGGAAAATTATGCAGAAATGCAAAGAGACGCCTACATGTCCAACATCAGAGCTCTGAACTAAAGTTCAGTATCATTGCAAAGCTTGTAATTACATTTCTAGTGATGGTGTTTGGCAGATGTTCTCATCCGGAGGGCCTTGCACCACTGCTCGGTATTCATGAACATGGCAACATCACTGCATCAAGTGAAGATGCTTCTTGGTAGCAATTAGCTTCTCCCAGTGATTAACATGACAAGAGCAAGAGGTGCTCCAGACAGTAAAACTGCTGTAACTTTATTAAGCTGGCTGTCACGGCAACGCCTCTGGTGAGATGACCAGATTGTGGGAAATGGATGAGGGACCTTTGTGTGAATTTCAAATCTAATTTGCCTGATTCATGCAGTGAACTCAGATTTTCTGATCATTTCAAACACTCAGCTGAATGAAAAGGTTGTCGGGCCTAATGAATTCAACTCTGCCATGTGTTAATTAGACACCAAGATAGGCTTAAAAAGGTGCAAAACCCAAAGCTGGGTGAAAGAAATACTGAAATGTGCTGCCTGAAGGCTTTTTTACTGCCCCTAATGTCTTTATTCTTTGCTTTTTTTTCGTGGCAAATTTAAATCTGCCAAGGCGTTCTGGAGCCTAATCTGAAATTCTAATTGGTGGAAACTGAAGATTAAAATAATTTGAAGCACAAGATCATTTTAAAATATTAGAAGAAAGTTTGTCTCTTTGGGAAGAGAGTCTAAAGATATAGTGAGAGAGTTCAGTGCACTGTTGTTGATGTGCAGCACAAATAAACCAATAGTGTGTGGAGCTTGGAGACAGAGTGACATGCAGCAGCTTGATGCTTTGAGAGCTGCTGAATTCTAGATCAGTCAGAGGTTTCTGAATCCCTGCAGGCCAATGCCAGCTTCCAGGACTCTGTGATTGCCTGACCAGGAGGTGACTGACACCTGTGTTAGCACCTGTGACAGGTTTGGTCACATTGTTGAGATGTGCTGAGAAAAATGCAGGAAACTTCAGGAAGAAAAAAATTGTTCTTCAAAACGAACAAAAAAGCCTATTAGTGATATCAAGACGTTGTAAAATTTCTCTTTAAACTTCCATGTGTTTTACCATCAGAAAAGTGCACAAAGGTAATATTTGTTGCATAAATGTTTGATTGAACCGTAAAACACAGGAGCTAGATGTCTCATTTATTATGTCCAACCCCCTGCAGGTTGACTGTAAAATAAGGGGTTACTAATGTTTGACTTACTGAATTTTTTATAAGATCTCAAATAGTGCCCACCTATTTTGAACATTTACTTGGACTTATGATGGCCGTCAAGTTTTATGACCACATCTACAACATTTTACAAAGATGTTTCACTGCCACATTTATTTCGCCGCCACATTATCCAGATCCGGGGCCGAACCGGCATCGACTGAGGTACCATTAGGCCTCAGTACAACCGGAGAAGCAACATTTACAACGGCACAGTGAAGCAAGCTGATTTCATTTTTATGGCCTTTGCTTTGAGCTCTTTAATTTTCCTTGAGTGCTAGTTAAGCCTGAGGTCAGTTGTTTTTGAATACATCTAGTTTGTTAAAATCCAATGTCATACACACAATTAGTTTGCATGCTAGATTATTATGCAGATGAAAAATATCAATCGTGTGCTCCATCATGTGCCTATATTTACACTGCAGAAGGTTATTTAACTGTAAATAAGGCAAATTAAGCAGAAAGAGATGCCATTAATTGTTGCGCTTTGTCAACATAAGCCAGTCACTTCTGTAATTTCCAGAGGCTTTTCCCCACAGGAGTCTCATAACAGATGAAATGATCTGGCACATAAGTTGTCATTTCTGCTTTTCAAACTGGAACCCTGTGGTGGTGGTATCCAGTTAAATTTAGTCCCAGTTCTATGTTGCAACCTTCTGTTTTCCAGTTTTTCTTTTCATCCTCAAAGGTTCAACCGCTTTTTTTTTTTGTTTGTTTGTTTTTCCCTGGCTGTTGGAATTATTTATAGAGCTTCATCGCAGCATTAAAAATTCACAAATTAAGTTCATTATTGGTTCACATGACAATGTTGCTTCTAATTTCAAGTTGATAATAATCTCTGGGTTTTAAGCAGCATCTGTGTAACTACAAAGAAGTTACTGTTAATTCGTGATTTAGAGCACAGGATTTGTACAATAACATGCTTAATGACAACTACCCACAGTGACTGGCTGTAATCACTTTCCATAAGTTAGTTTTAACATGCAGTGATTTATTCCATTTGCTTTAATACTCTTCTTTTGTATTTGCTGTTATTTAGAGCTTCTTTATTATCATTGTCTGCAGCCAAGGAGAAAATCTCAGTCAAGGTTTTGTGATAAATGAAATGGCCTTTTTATATTATCAGCTGTAATAGAATTACAGTTGGCTTATGTATTTCAGCATAAAATAAGAGGCCACACAGTCACAATGCTGCATTTTTTTCCTAGCTAAAGGTCCTTTGGCTTCACTGAACTGCAGATATATTTCCTGTTCAGACTGGATTTGCTCTCCTACCTCACATAAACACCTGCCAGAAGGAGCAGATCTATAATTTAGCCTTCAGATGACTTGTGATTAAAGATGACGTTACTGTTGAGATTGACACAGAGTGTAATATTTACCAGAGTTGGTTGTTTTATTGCTATAGGTATTCTACCTGTCAAGTCTTAACAGTAAAAGTTATTTTGTGCTCAAATTATTTAATAAACTGAGGAATTGTGAATTTTATAAAGCACTTTCACCTGCTTGAACATGATAGTTTCTTTGTCTGCAGGATGTTTTAATTCAGGCGTTTAAGCTGCTACTCAAAGTGGCACCCTGTCCCTTTCCAGGCTTTATTTGCCTCTAAGACTTAAGAATCTCTGTGGATCTTGATAAAGTCAAGCTTTCAAATAAGATGTGTAAACATGAGCAACAGTAAATTCAACTTCATCTCTTTTTGCAGGAGCATCATCGCAAACCAAAAAAGAAGAAAATAAATAACATGTTTACTGGGATCTTTTCAACCAACAGATCCCATCTTCTCTTATGACATTTAGCAAAGTTGGAGTGCGGAGAGTTAGGGTGCTTTAACCAATCCTCTTTGCACAATTACTCTAGATGGTTTAGAGTCTTGGATTTTCTCTTATCCTCCAACTCTGAGCTCACCCTCAGGTTTTTCTAATGGATTTAGGTCTGGGGTGTGGGATGGCCAGTTAAGAAGCATGGTTTTGTGTCTGCTTATCCATCTGTTGATTTGGCCTCATGTTCTAGATTATTATTCTGCTGAACAACCAATCAACAACTCATTTTCAAACATATGACTATTTATACAACAGGTTCAATTCAATTTAAATTTATTTAATGGAGCGCAGCACAGTAAACCATTAAAACAAAGTAATTGCTGTTTTTCGTGAAGCTTTGCTAGCCACTGGTCAATTTGCAAACGCAGTCCTTGGCCCACAGCATAACAGACCCTCCAACTTACCTAATTGTAGGCAGGATGTAGACATCCTTTGTTTTGGGTGGAGAACATAGTGGCAGTTAGCAAACTCTTGATTTTGGCTAAAATAAAAGCGGCTCCTCTTTCAGTTTAGCAGCTGGTGGCTAACAGAAATGAGCCTCTGTGTCGCATCATGACATTATGAGTCTGTGCACTTTGGTCCTGCCTGTCAGCTTTTTAAACTCCTCTTGGATGTGGGGTTGTAGTTCAGGTTTCTGTTTGAGCTTTAGAGATGTTAATCAAATGTAGTCAAAAGAATAACATGTTGCGACGGTTACACACCGTAGCAACTGTCTGAAAGCAGAAATCCTTCCAGCTGCACAGCATCCAAAACCGCAGGAAGTAATTGTCCAGACATGCAAGGAATCAACCTAAGAAAGAACAAATCAGCAGATTCTCCAGTGGATGTGACCTGCTCTGTACATGTTTGTGTGTTTATGCTGGTTTGTGCTGCTTCATTTTCGTGTGTTTATCTCCAGAATGAATAGGACATTTGTACTAAACCTGTTTTTTTTGTTTTTTTTAAATATTTACTGAGGGCAGTTTTCTAACTAGAGAATCCTGAGAGTGAGTCCCAGATGGTACAGGCTTAATTTTATCAGTGCACACTTTGTGTATGAAGAGAATTTAATTAAAACAGAACGAAGTTGAAAACTACATTAATAAACCCTAAAGGAAAATCTTATTGTGGTACACGGTTAATGAAAATAAAGGCATTATCCCCAGCAGAGCTCTGTCATGGTTCAGAACATCAGAGGGAAAGGCTGCAGTAACCTGCTGGTCAGCTTCTATTAAGGAAGTCTGGTTAAATGTAGTTTCTAATCTATTACAGAGATTAATGAATGGGTTCTTACAGATGGATTTGAAGCATTAGGTTTCCATCTCTAGTGTAAAGAAGGAGCTTTTAAAGATAAATGCTGTCTGCAGCTTTAATTCACCCTGAGTTATCTCCTTGAACGCAGCAACAACCCAGCCCACCGGTATTACCTGGCAACTGACCCGGTAAGCGGCCAGCTGTACGTGTCGGACACAAACTCCCGGCGCATCTACCGACCCAGGATCCTGGGGGGAACCAAGGAGCTGCAGTCCAACGCCGAGGTGGTGGCAGGAACCGGAGAGCACTGTCTGCCCTTCGATGAGAACCACTGCGGCGACGGTGGGAAAGCTCCAGAGGCCTCCCTCACCGGACCCAAAGGTATCATTTCAAATTGATGAAGATGTTCTGCTCAATGGAGGGGTGGATCGCAGTGATGGATTTCTCATTCTGAAGTGGCACCTGCTAGATGTGAATTTATGCGTGCTTTGGGCGCCGTGCCAAATGACGGCTTACTCGTTTGTAATTAATTAATTTTGGTTGTGGTTCTCATGTAAAATTCAAAGCAAACAGGCAAGGCTCCTAAGAAAACATTGATACTTCAGCAATTAAAGCAATTTTCTGTTCCCTGTTAAAAAGTTGTTACCTCCAGAAGTGCAAATTATACTTTAGTTTTCATAGTTTACATGTGAAGTTATTCCTGTGGATTATTATTCCAAATGTTGATGTTATTAATTTAAAATCTTTCTCTTGCTCTTCTAGATGTCCATGAAAAAGTATTCACACAACCACAACCTTTTCCCATTTTGCCTCATTAAATCCAAACAAAGTAGAGCTTCATCATGGAGCGAAAGGTTTACAATATTTTTCATAATATCACTAATATAATTTGCCATTTGAACTAGAGCTTTTTCATTAAAGAGGTATGAACTTAAAACAAGCTGCTATATTTTGCTGAAAATGTAATTGTACGTTATTTTGTCTTGTTTTAAGTGCATTAAGATATTTGATTAGACATTTTTAGTAACATTTTGTTCGCAAACTTGCCAACACCAGTTCATGAGGGGGACATTATTTACAAATCAACAATTAGTGCCCTTATTGGAAAAGTTTGTTGTTGTTTTTTTTTTTTGAATAAAGACATAAAAAGTATTGTTCCCAGTTTGCCCCAAGGGGCATTAGGGGCTGTGGCAAATATGTGGAAGAAGGTTCTCTGGTCTACATTTAAACCACAATGAATGACAGAACAGTGAAACTGTAGATCACAGTGAACACAGAACCACAAGTCCATATGTTGGTGGCAGCATCGTGCAGTGGGGCCAGAGTCGAGGTGAAGATGGGTGGAGCTAAATCCAGGATGATCTCGGAAGAAAATCAGTTGGGGACTGATGGACAGCTATAGAGTCTAAAATCAAAATCAAATCACATTTTATTTGTATGGCACATTTCAGCAGCAAGGCATTTCAAAGTACTTTATAAACACATAAACACAAAGTCATGCATCACGGAATAAACAATACATTGTTTCATATTACATTTCAAATACAATTCTAAACAGGTGTGTTTTTAGTTGAGATTTAAAGAAAGTCAGGGTTTCTGCTGTTTTACAGTTTTCTGGAAGTTTGTTCCAAATTTTTGGTGCATAGATGCTGAAAGCTGCTTCTCCTCTCTTGGTTCTGGTTCTGGGGAGCAGAGCAGACCAGAACCGAGACCTGGAGTCGGAAGGTGATACTTTGAATGGTAGTATTGTGGTGCTAAACCGTTCAGTGATTTATAAACTAACAACAGTATTTTAAAATCTATTCTTTGAGCTACAGGGAGCCAGTGGAGGGACTTTAAAACTGCTGTTATGTCTCTATCTTCCTGGTTTTAGTGAGAACAGGAGCAGCAGCTTCTGGATCAGCTGCAGCTGGAGGATTGATTTGTTGGACAGGCCTGTGAAGACGCTGTTACAATAATCAATGCGACTAAAGATAAACGCATGAATGAGTCCAGACACAAATACAATTATGTATATGTGGCAAGACTTGAAAATTGATGCCACACTTTTCTGATTTTTATTTGTAAAATACAAAAAGTTTAAAAACTGCAACATTTTTCTTCCATTTGACAATTCTGTACTACTTTGTGTTGGTATATCAAATCCTAATAACATACACTGAAGTTTGTGTTTGTAACGGATGAAACAGAAAGACATCTTTGAAAGGGCTTTGGATGCTTCTGCAAACCACTGTAAAAGTCAAGTTTGGCTTTTAATGCTCCTTGTGAAATAACTGCTGCCCACAAACCGATAAGTGCTTTGCACAACCTGTTGTCCACATTCAGATAGCAGAGGGTCATTTGTGGCAAAATCGACGCCTTTTCCATAAATTCGTTTGGAATAAGAGGTGAGGATGAATTGTTTTGCGCTCGTTGCTGTCTTCTTTTGAGTGCCAACTGCAATAGCTAGGCTTCGGCTAGGTGATAAAGGCTTGAGTGAAGGCAATTTGAGGGAACGACTCTAATGATGGAGTGGGTGGAAGCCGAGACAAGAGCAGAAACAGCAGATGGCTCCATTTTTTCTTCCTTTTTCTCTCCTCAGACATTTGCTGAACTCTGCTCAAATGTGACACATTTCATCTGTCTGAGAATCAGGCTGTCAGATAGCCAGCTCCCAAGGATTCACCGCCAGCTCCCACAGCTCGTCAATGTTTTAGCAGAAAGCAATCTTGTGCAGCCCTAGCCCACAGGTCAAACCAAACCACTAACCTTCCATAGAAGCTTTTAAAGACTTCATTGAAGAAGAAATTCTCTGGAGGTACGAGTAAAGTTATAGCACATTCAGAACAGTTAAAAAATTTGGAAAACTATAGCGTAGTCATCCACTGTACTTCCTGGGATCAGTGGCTATTTGAAATCAAATCCGGAACCGCAGCCAGTTAAAACCGGTACGGATAGAAAACAGCCGTCCTGGTTATGAAGTATGGCTGAATTCCCAAAGGCAGTGATCTCTATTAAGCAGCACAGTGTCACGGAGAGTGATGCAGAAGCCACTGCACCCCGTTAATGTATTTTCCCAGTTTGGGACATCTGGTTATTGCAAGCCCACACTGGCTCGGCTTTGCTTTGGCGTAGAGATTTGAGCTAACAGTCAATCACTGAGACAATTTAGCCCTCACTTGTCACCAAGGCAACTGTGCGTCTTTAACCCCTTTCAAGAAAAATTGTCAGCAGCTGTCGGTTGTATTCTTCTCGCTTATTTGTTTGTCAAATGATGAGCGGATCGTGATGATTGCGGAAGTCAAAGAATCTCCACAAAGCAGCAGCCGTTGGCAGGCAACCCTCCTTCTGAGGTCGTCTTTAGACAGAGGGGCTGACGAGGCGAGGCAAGTGCATATATACATATATATATGTATATATATATACATATATACACCGTATGAATACAGCCTTTCCCACTTCTGCCTGAGAAATTATTTAATAGCAGAAAAGCAGCCTGTGAATTATTGATGGCTGTGCTTTTTGCAGTGACCTGAATAATGGGAAGGCGAGCTTGACACATGTATCCATCGTGTTCTGTCCACTGAGTCATGCAAGCAGAGATGTGGCATCTCTACCATGTTTGCCTGTTATCACAAGCTCTTTTCCCCCCTGTTTTCTCTCCTTTTTTCTCATCCCACCAACCCCCTCCACTGCTGCTGCCGCCGCTGCCACCTCCCACCTGCTTTCAACAGGCATCGCCGTGAACAAGAACGGGCTGATTTATTTCGTCGACGGCACCACGATCAGAAAGGTGGACCAGAACGGCATCATCTCCACTTTCCTCGGCTCCAACGACCTGACATCGGCTCGTCCCCTGACCTGTGACAGCAGCATGGACATCAATCAGGTGACTTAAACAAAGAAGTGCCAGAAAGCTGTTAACACTTCTGCAGAGTGTGTCACAGTGCCACCTTGTGCTCCAAGCTCTGTAACCCCATTTCAAGCCGTCCCTGCACAGCGAGATGTGGTTACTGACACACGCACGCACACACACACACACAGCATGCAGTTGGTTTATAAGGGAAAGCAACACTTGCAGGATGCTTTTTTTCCACGGTTCACTGGCTTTAGTATTACTAGGAGTTTCCAAATTATTTGGTCATTTTGATTTTTTGGATGCTGCCGGAGTAGGAAAATATCTCTCTCTCTGAAAATTTTAACTTTTGCCTCGGAAAGTGTGATTACTTTCTGCCAGAAGATATTTGTCAGCATATTGAAATCTGTACAGTTAAATTAAATACACTTCATATTTAGTTGTTTCAAAATCAGTCTTTCTTATTTGTGCAAATAGTTTGAATTTCCCTAAAAGACGGGTTGAATTTTTTTGGTATTTCCCTCATGATATGAAAAATGTTTGTTGCAACAAAGAAACTGTTGAAGGCAGTTTTAATCTCAGCTAATTATCCTCACGGTGTGGTTCCTATCTGCAGAAGTCACTGGACCAGAGGCAGGTTCAGCCCGCACTCTTCACCAGTCCATTTCATAAACTATTTAAAAACTCATTTGCCTTCAGATGGCATTTGTTGTGATTTTTTTTTAAAGATGCAATTATTGCTGAAGATTTCATGCTGCTTTTGAATTACATTCATGTATTTTATAATTACTCTTAATCATTCTCATAATCTACTAGAAATCCATTCTGAAGGAATAATTGGTTCCTCCCCATTGAGCAATCGCTTGTACAAATTTAAATAAGCGAGGAGGTTCTGGTTATTTCCAAAGTAGGATGTTTTTCATCAATTAAATTGGATAGAAGGATTCATTATACTATTAATCACAATAATGTGTACTCCCTTGTGATTTACAAAATTCTAAAAAAATGTTAAAGCAAAATAAGTCAAAGAGCCAAAGACCTATTCTCTGAGTAATTATTTTTGATGGTTGAAGGTTTATGTATTTGAAATGAACATTAAAAATATTAACTGATTTTATGTGGTCACCCTGAAGAGTTTAGGAATTCTGATTTATAATATTATCTGTAACAGTAAATGAGAGGAACAATCTGGGAAAAGTAAAAAAAATATAGATCGTCCACATAACTTGCAAAATTTTGACAAAATTGGAAAATATTTTTAAACTGAAGAAACAAAATAACATATAAACAGTGAACTTGTAGATGAACTTTTATATTTTTTTCAAGTGAAAAAGGATGAAAAAAGGTTTTATTTTCTAGCTTTTTCCATCTTTTCTTTTTTGAAGGACAAAAATATAGTGACTTGCAAACACAGTAGCATCCATTGTCTATACTAGACAGGCTTTATCTTTAACTTGACACCTTACACTTTGACTTTAACATTTCATCCATCAGTGTCACTGATTCATCAGAAAAATAAAAAATGGGCATTTTACCACGTTTGGTCACTAAACAACAATATAGGCTTAACTGGATTTCTGGCCTTAAACTGGGTCTAAAACCCTAAACAACATATTTTTTATCTTTTTACAAACAAAATAAAGGTGCCGATGTACAGAGCCCTCCGGAGACATAGGATTTTTTTTTCTTTTGTGTTCCCTTCAAAAGGTTTTGTTCTCTTTCAATAATCTACTGATCAGTTGTGCGGCATAAATGTATACTGTAAGTCCTTCTTACAGTGACTGCTGTACTTTCTGCCTTAATATAAGGTTATAAGGTTTTTTTCATGGATGTTAATATCTGCTTGTGAAATATCTGATATTTTATATCTTTTTCTTTAGTCTGGAAAGGCAACACAAACCTATGATATAAACAGCAACTTTCCGTAAGTAGGAAAGAAATAAAAATACATCCAAACTATTTGGACTATTTCTGAGTTATTATCGCAGTGTAATAAGTCATCTGACAGTTTTGATTGTGTCTCTGCTATGTTCGTAGTCTGAATGGTTTAAAGGGCTGCTTTCAGAGCCGTTCCATCTTAGCCTGGCATAAACCGGCACTACTGTCACCACACACACACACACACACACACACACACACACACACACACACACACACACACACACACACACACACACACATACATACTAATGGCTTGTTTTCAATGAAATTTTTAAAATGTCTGTCGTCTGATGAGTTCTCATCAATTTAAAGACACAATTAAGATTCCTTTCTTCTTTTTTCTCTAGAAGAGATTATCCACCGCTGATTTTTGTCAAGGATGAGTTGATCCATCCCTTCCCTGTCAAGTCATAATTATACATTTTGAATTGGAGTTTGTCAAAGTTAGCCCAAATACCAAAATAAATCTGTCCATGAACTTCAACTTCAGTGTTAATTATTTGTCCTCGAATGCCCAGAATGCTATGCAGAAAAGAAATTGAGAACTCTCTGTGCAAATATTAGGATTTTAGAGGGAAAACTGGACAGACTTGCTTTTTTTTAAATGTAACTCATTGATCAACATTTTTCTGACCTTCCAAATGAATAAAATAAAATAATTGATATTAGATATTTTGACACACATTGACTGCCATTCAGAAGAAACTTGAGATCATATTTCAGGGTCAAAATAACATTCATAATAAGCTAAAAGATCCATCAAGGTTATTTTACATAATCAAGATGAATTTTGTGTGAAAGGCCAGATTGTATGTATTTATGGTCACTACATTAAGAAATGTAGTGTAATAAAGGGGATATGTAAACATTAGTGGGAGGTTTTTACACCACTAAGTGACTTCAGGTTCAAAAAGAAATGAGTTTTTATCTCAGAGCCAATTATAGAAAAGAATAATTACTGAGTTTGGGAGGGCGTGTTCGCTTGCAGCCGGAGCTGAATTAGTGTTTAGTGTTCCACAAGTAATTGTGGCAACACGAGTGATAATAAGGGAGTGCTCAGTAGTAGCTTGTTGAGCACATAAAACCTTTTTTACTTGGCGGAGCACGACTGCTGGCGGCTTTGTCCAAGAAAGCTTCAGTCTTCTACCTCAGCCTAAGGTAACATGAAAGCTCATCCTCTCCTAATGGAGGACAAGAAACGATTCTGAAACTGGGACTCTAAATACAATCTTCAACGTTCAGATCTGTGTCTGCTGCACACCTTGAGCGTTTTGTGAGCTGATTTCAGATGAATAATGCAGCAAAAAGGGCAAGAAAACAGACTTTTATCACACTAAAGTGAAAACTTTCACACCATGATTCGTTTTACTGCTTCTGCTCTTGGAAATAAAGTTGTTTCCATTCCTCCCACTTTGTGCTCAAGACAAAGCATTACTGTTTGAAACCAACACCAAACGGATGATTTATCATGGAAAAACGGACACTATGCTGGCTTACAAGTATAGACACATTCATCTTTACAAATTAACTCTGAGATACATAAATATCTATATATTAATATAGGGGGATATATATCAAAGACTAAATGGAAACCATATGTCACATTTTATTAAAAAATAAATAGTTTCTTCACTGAGTATCAGGGTTATTTAAGACACGTTCAACACATTTATTAAGCATCTCAACACAAACAAGTATGACAAATTACTTGGTAACATTTTTTCTATACACAAACTGTTATTAGAATTTCTGTATTTATGACAAAATATATACTGGATAAATTAAACAAAATACTTCACACCTTCTGTGGTATCAAGGTAAGGAGAAAAAACTCAAGAAAGACATGATAATGATAATAAAATCCCTAAAATATTGACACCAAAAAAGTTAAACACTTGATGTAAAATGGCTTAATATGAGCATTTTTCCTGTATGAAGCAAACTGGGACTTTACTGGAAAAACATCTATTACAATAAGTACATGTTTCCCTCAGTGTGAGATTTTTTCTGCCATCATAATGTTTTCATCTCTCAGTGTGAGTTTTCACATCATAGCTGCTGTCACTTTACTCAGGGTGGGTCAACCTGAGGCTCTGGAGTCAGAGGTGGCTCCCTGGACCTTTAACAATGGTCCTTAATAACTTTGGCTAAAATGATAAGAAACCAGTTGCTTTTTATGTTACTCATAAAACATAAATATATTTTTTGCAACAAAATGGCACTAAAGAAACCAGTCATATGTCAAACTGTGATTTTTTTTTCATAATTTTCCTTAAATACCAAAATCCCATTCGAACAAATATATGTATATCCTGTTCTTGCAAAAATGTTACTTTAAAACCTAGAAACAAAAAACAATAGTAGTTCTTTCAGAAAATATAACACATTTTCTTAGTAGATAACTTTAGCAAATTTAAACTAATTGAAGTTAGCTGAAATGAGGTGAATATAACTCTTTGTATGTTAAAAGTTGCAGACTTTATACATCTGTCAACATCACTGTTATCTCCAGTGAGGACCTCTGAATGTAACGCTGTTTTATTTTTTTATTTAAACGCCAAAGATCAAAAGAGATATTAAAACTGAGTGGATGCATGATCATAAAATCTTGTTTTGTGTACAAAGAATCAAATCTGTCTTTTGAATCAGTAATTTGATATAATTATTTAATTTCAGTCAAATTATATTAGGGTGACTTCTTTTTCAAATCTGCAATCATCTCACAAACCATGAAAGGGAATAACTCAAACTAAGAAATATTTTAAATTAAACAAGCAGCTTCCTGTTATTCTTATTGTGAGAAATACAGGGCGTCAAATGGGATTTTTCTTTATTGTTTAATATCAATATAACTTTTTCAATTACAATTAGTCCATAAAATGTGTCCTCAATAGATAAAGTAATCCAGGACATGTTAATAAAGTGCTGAAAATGCTAAATTAGAGAAATTGTATCTTCAGAAACCAAGAAAAGCATTTAAGAATAAACTGTTAGTCCTTCTGAAGTGGCTGGACTCACACAATGCATGAGGTCTAGACACACGTCATATAACATTATGTGACAAAAGCAGACATTAAAAATGATTTTTCTGTTGCATTATAAGTGCAAGAAATGTATAATAAGCTTTCATTTCAGTTGACGTTTGGGAGTATTTTTCTTGTGAACAGAATGGAAAGCAATCAGTATTTGTGTTTGTGAGTGGGTGGTGTGCTGAAAGAGGGAGAACATGAGAGAACATGAACAGAAAGCATTAATCTTGCTACTTTTTCCTTATTAACCAACTCATTTGGCGCAAAGCAACCAAGACAAAGCATTGGCACAACTGTGTGATCCTCCGGCACCCGGGCTGAAAAGCTGGCTCGCTGCAGTTTAACTAGTGGAAGCCTTAAAGGCATTGTTCTTTACTGTTAATCACCAAGCGGAAAAACACAAATTAGGGATGTTTGGACAGTTTTAATGACATGGTGTTGTTTCTCAAGGCCAGGTTAGTCATTTTTCCGCTGTTAGAAAAAGAAGCTTTTTATCCACCGAATGAAAGTCTGTTAGAAACTCCGGCTGGAACCGAAGGATTCTGGCTTTGGCTCGCTTAATGTTCTACAAGACGTGATTAATTATCTCATCACTTTAAATGCAGGAGACTTTTCTTTCATGTCATTTTGATTTATTCTGATATATGTCATTGATCACCATGTGAAGCTTTTCTTTCAGGTTACACCACCAAACCTCACAGCTTTAATGGAGCAGGAAGGCGTAAATTGCATGCTTAATGTTCTTTATGAGACATGCTCATTTACTTAGGTTGAAATCCACTAAAAAATTTAACACTATCAAGATTAAAATCATTAAAATGAACAGATTAGTTATCCCAAACATGTTAAAATAGTCAAAGACTTTAGACATTTTGGAAGAGATGAAAATTCAGCTACTGGATGGCAACACTGAGTAAAACTAGAAGCTGTTGTTTAATAAAGTAAACCCACTTTTATTAGCAAATATTACAATAATAATATCACATTTTGTAATATTTTAAACCAGAAACTTTGGATTTGATGGACATTTGTCTGTAATCATGAAATAAAAGGGAAACAATTCACAATTTTCTAATAATTTTAAAATAAAAATAAACAGACATTTACTACCATGCCCTAAAAAAACCAGTTCAGACAACTGGGTTTAGAAGTATCTAAATCAGCCACAAAAACAATGGCGACTGAGACATGATCACCTGTTTATTGGACAGAAAGAAGTGGATTTACCAACTACCTATGTCTGTGTCTTCCCTTTGAGAGCCACTTACTGCAGGTCATCACAGAATCACGGTTTAGATTCCTGCTTTCATTGTTGAAAGGGGAATCCATCTGTTTTATATACCAGCCACACAACAAAACAACCCAGTTATGAGCTTGTAGGATCAACATTTGCAGAGTTCCTCTTGGCTCTTTAAATTCTTTTATTCCACCTTTGGTAAACAAAAGACAATCCTGCAGGTGAAAGATTTTAATTCTGTATTGGACTTAAGCTCCTCCAGGTAGATCTGCTTGTATTCAAATATGCAGCAATAGCCCAGAAACTGGATTAAAGCTGTTTATTGTGATGCAACAAATGCATTTTTGAGAAAAGTTGGAAAGATGTAGGTCTTTGTCTAAACAATACATTTCTGATTTTCTAAACTCCATGCATTTTTTTTCTGTATTTGGTTGGCTTAATTGTCTCTCTTGTAAATTAGATATTGAAACTCAATGAGCCAACTTGTATAAATAAAGGCCAAATAAATAAAAAATGTTCTTTTAACAGTTCCTCCCAGATATATTTGGATTTCAAAATGTTACAACTACAAACCTCAGTGTTTTTTATTGGGTTTTATGTTTCAGACCAACTAACACAAGCTAGTGTTCAATTGTTCAATGTTGTAGATGGAAAATTATGCACGTTATTTTTTTCTGTCTTTTTTTGTAATAATAAGAATAAAAACTGTGAGGCAACATATATTCAACCCCTCTTACTCCAATACCTCTAAATGATCTGATGTTATCTGTAGAGATGAACACTGCTAATATTTTAGTTATGACTGCAGAACAGAAGTTTGGCATTTTGTGCTGTTTTTATTGTGTTAATTTTATATGACTTTGAACTGTGATTGTATCTGTGGACTCTGCATGTCGTGTGATTTCAGACTGTGTGAACTAACCTGGAAACTAGCTTAAGCTACATCTGGTCCAAAGCATCTTTAATTAATATTTTTTGCACATTGCCCCCGTTAAATAAACTAAACTAGTTGCTCTAACCCTAAAGCACTAGTCATAAACAGCTAACTGTGCTAAATGTTTTTAAAGTTAGAAAAAGCTATGTGTGTTTAACCCAACTGATGATACATCACAACTGCTGTGGTTATACATGGTAGTGGCAGCATCATGCTTTCAAGCAGAAAAGTAGCTAAGAGTTTACAGATGGAAAGATGGAGGCACATACATAAAAGTCCTGGGGAAAAAAGCGTTAGAACGGCCTAGTTAAAGTCCACACCTAAGTCCAATTGTAATTCTGTGGCAATACTTTAAGCCTAATCTTGAGCTGAACTTGAGCTATTTGGTCAAGAAAAGTTGGTGAAAAATTCAGTCTCTAGACTGCAGTGAAAATTATGGACGTGCTAAAAACATTTACGCCACACTTTTCAGATTTTTAGTGGTAAAAAAAACTGAAAAGCATTTAAATTCTCTTCCCTAAATGTATTTTTTGTGTTGCTCTATCAGGTAGAACCTCATAAAAATACAGTCTGTGGTTGTAACACGTCTAAATGTTCAACATTTATGAATACTTTGGTGAGGCACAGCGTGTTAGGATGTTAGTATTGTGCTTCAGAAAATACTCCTTCTTGATATATTCCATACAAAAGATTTCCAGATTTGAGTGTGAAGCCTCTTCTATCACACTCTGACACTGACAATCTGCCATTCACAGTGAGATTTGTGGAGGTTAGAAAGAGGCCGGGGTTTGTGATTCTTTCTGGCTCTTATTTTTCTTGACACAATAACATCTGTCACTTTTCTGATTCAGTCTGTGCAGATTCATCTGCCTTTTGGCTATGTTTACTGACACATTGTGAGTGCGTGTGTCTGTGATAAAAGTTTACAAAAATAACTTCATGGAGCATTTTTGCTGAAAGAAGTTATCACTGAATAAAATACTTGGCTTTTTTCTCAATTAAATTGGAGTTGGAATTATATGTCATATTTTCTGTATTGCAGGTGATTTTAGAGTGGCCCACAGATCTAGCAGTCAGCCCGATGGACAACTCGCTGTATGTGCTGGACAACAACATCGTGCTGCGCATCACTGAGAACGGTCAAGTCAGCATTGCAGCAGGTCGACCCGTCCACTGCCCGCTGGCTGGACTGGAGCGAGGCGTAGCTGGTGGACAAAGAGCTCATTTGACCCCTCTAGAGTCGGCCGTTTCCATCGCCATATCCTACCACGGTACCATCTACGTCGCAGAGACAGATGAGAGGAAGATGAGCAGGATCCGGAAGGTTTCCGTGGATGGGGAGATAACACATTTGGCTGGAGCTCCCTCCGACTGCGACTGCAAGAACGATGCCAACTGTGACTGCTATCAGACAGGAGACGGCTATGCCAAAGATGCGAGGCTGAACGGTCCTTCTTCATTAGTGGCGGCTCCAGATGGAACGCTATATGTGGCAGACCTGGGGAACATCCGCATCCGCGCTATCTCACGAAATGGGCCAACTTTGACTTCCAATGGCGGTGCTTATGAGGTAGCTTCCCCCGACGCTCAGGAGGTCTACATGTTTGACAGCAACGGCACCCACCAACACACCGCCAGCTTGCTCACCGGAGACCTGAAGTACACGTTCAGCTACAGCACAGAGAACGACATCACAGCTGCTACCGACAGCAGCGGGAACACGCTGAGGATCCGGAGGGACGCCAACCGCATGCCGGTGCGGATCGTTGCCCCTGACAACCAGGTGATTTGGCTAACGATGGGCACCAACGGTGGCCTGAAAACATTGACCGCGCAGGGTCAGGAGCTGGTGCTGCTGACGTACCACGGCAACAACGGCCTGCTGGCCACAAAGACTTCAGAGATCGGCTGGACAACTTTCTATGAGTGAGTAGAAACACTGGGAATGAGTCGGCAGAAATCATTCTGATTGTCTGATTGGTTTAGCTTTCAAATTCAGGAAACAGCTCACAGTGCAAATTAGAATGCGCCTTCCACTTTGTGCAAGCTAATAAACGTGGTGTAAAGATTTGGCAGGTGGAATTGTGTTTGGGAACGAAACGCCACATCCTGCATCTCTGGGATAAGAAGGAACTATTAACGGTCATGTAATTGAAAGGTTTATTTATTTATTTCTGATGTTACCTTCTGACATTATTAATAAACTGTAGGTGTGTTTTTATGTGTAGGCTGTGCAGTAGATTAATGTGAATATTTGTCCATAAAACCACTTACGTTTATTTAGATCCACTTCTTTCTTCCCTATTTATGTGTTGCAAGATGATGCCGAGAGGCTCTTATGGTCCTGTGTTGTTCCTTTGACCCGAAGCTGTGGTCAGGTTTTTAAGGTCTGTTATAAAGTCACAACAGACTTTTTGAGAATATTAAAATGCTCTCGTTTTGTTTTTACTTAAATAGATCTCTAGTATAATATAATGATGATGATGATGACGATGATGTATAGACCACCTTCAGCTGCAGCCAACCTTGTGATACGATCTGGCCCTTTCTGTCACATAATTCCTGCCTTGGCATTTTTCTCCGGCTTCCAGACGGTTTTGGGGTCCAGTGTGAAGTTCTCTCTGTTACATATGGAGTCCTGCTCGGCCAGGAACCTTTATATGGGTCTGACTGGACTCAGCTGCTTGCTAAGGTCGGCTGATCTGGGTTTGTACGACCTTAAACTAAAACCAATATTTTTCACAGGCTTTTCTATATATGAGCGCTCTTTGAATTATTGTATTTCTTTGCAAGTTGAAGTGCATGTACTTTAACTTGTAAGGAACTTTGTGAGTCTTCAGAAAAGCACTATATTAATTTATTTACTTATTTTCCAAAAAGTAAAATAAGAAGGACATTTGTAAGGGAGTCAAATACATTTTCCCCACTGTACATATTTACACATTAAAATAATATAGAACACATATAGAAACATCAGGCAGATTTTATTGTTTTCCAGGAATTTGGCTGTTTAAATCACTATTACGATATTTTGAAAATATGGTCATGTTATAGATTTTTTTGTTGCTTTGAAGATTAGATTCAAAGTGTCAAAAATAACTATTTTTGAATCATGAATCTGTCACACGCTTATTCCATAAATTGTGACTCATTCCTACCTGCAAATTGCCAAGGGTGCAGAATTAATCGAAATCTAATTATAAAATGTCCCTCAGATGTGTAAAATTTCTCAGTTAGACCTCAATAACCCCATAAAGTGAGTTACATTTGTCTTTTATTTATATATTAACGAGTGCTATTAGAGCAGTTACAAGTGTAAAAAAGAGATTAGATAAAATGAATAATTGTATTTAATTAAAGTAAGCCACTTAAATTTTTTTTATCATAATCCAATTTGTTTTGGAAGCAAAGCATCTCAGCGTCATTTTTTTTGTCACATGACATTAAGCCGCACATGATACCCTCACTACAACAAAAACAGCCAATCGTGATTATGACACATCAATCACTCTAAAAAATAAAATAAAACTCATAATAAGTTTTATTTAATCTTCCTGATAGCTGTGAGATTTGTCACTCAGCCTTATTCTGTGCGGATCGTGCCTGAGCCACTTTAACAGACATCCTTCCGCTCCTGTGCCAGAAGTGGGAAATATCCGGGGATGAAAATGTGACATTTTAATTAGAAGAAAGTCGGCCGTCTCACCCAAGTATGAAGCAGCTGATAATTGAAATGCATTGTAGCCTGGGAGCCCTCATACATATAAATGCTTTGTCATTTTTGATGTTTCCTTTTGTCAAACAGCTATGACAGTGAAGGGCGCCTAATGAACGTGACGTTCCCCACGGGAATGGTGAATAACTTGTACACAGACATATACAGCGCTCTGATGGTGGACATCGAAAGCTCCCTGACAGAGGAGGAAATCAGCATCACCACCAACGCCTCGACCATCCGAGCCTTCTACACTCTGGCTCAGGGTAAGGCTTTGTCGCCGGCGCCACAGCACAGCAGCTGTTATTTATCATTGTTTCAAGGGTCTGCAGGGCAATGTTGAGTAAGCCTGAGTCGTGTGTCATTATGACTCAGAGGGTCCGGTAGTGTAAATGATTGCTCTGTGGGAGTGTGGGCCGGGGTGTCAGGGAGACGCACCAACCTTGTGCTTTCTCCTCTCTTCCACAACCAGATGGACCCGCTATTTCCTCACATCACTCTTCGTTAAGACTTCAAATAAAATCTGAGATGCTAAACAATTGTTCTCCACCAACAGACCAGTGTAGAAGCAGCTACCAAGTGGGCTACGACAACTCGCTGAGGATTACCTACGCCAACGGGATGGACACCCACTACCAAACGGAGCCCCACATCCTGACTGGAGCTGCCAACCCGACTGTCGCCAGGCGCAACATGAGCCTGCCAGGAGAGGTTGGGCAAAACTTGGTGGAGTGGCGCTTTCGCAAAGAACAAGCCAGAGGAAAAGTTATCGTGTTTGGGCGAAAGCTGAGGGTAAGTCTGGATCTGGTTTAAATCCCCGTCTTTTCCCCTCTGTGGCACACGCGGCTCTCATGATATGGGATGCACAAAAAACAAGAGAGGTTGCAAAACTGTGTGAACTGGTTCTGTCAACAGAAGGTTATTCTGGGCAGACTGTTTAAAAACTACTGTTTCTCCTGAAATAAAGACAACACATTTACTGTTGCTACCAGTAACACTTTCTGTTAAACAAAGAGGACAGCAGATGATATCCAAGTCAATATGCAAGCGATGAACATTTCACAATAATCTAGAGATAAAAAGCCTCCTCAGAAATGTGTGAAATATGAGTAAAAGAAATGATCTGTAATCATTTTAGTTATTTTGTCATTCCACTCCACAGTGGAGTAAAAACATTAAGAACAAAACAATTCTCAAGTAAAATCTCAGCATCCACAACTTCTCTGCAAAAGTAAGATTCTGGTGTCAGGTCGGAAATTATTTCCACTTTACAAACATTGAACAAATAATAGTTTATAAAATTCAAATGTGTGGCCCTGTGTCACTGAAAATATAATAATTACTAATAATAAATAATAATAAAAAAACAGAGATCATTAAATACAAATAAAAAGTCACATCCATATCTGCATGTGTCATGGAAAAACAGCGGCTGACCAGTGAGGTTAAGACTGTTAAGTGACGTCGTGCAATGAAAGTACAAATTACTGGTCACTGTTGTGATGACAACACTCTTTGGTATGAACGCCGTTACTGAGTGAAGATGACTCAGTTGTTGCAAACTTCATCATGTGATGTCTAAACCAAAGTCAGAGAAATGCAGAAGCTAGTTGAAGAAAAACTTTATTTTCAATAATGTGTTGCAATAATGTTGCTGCACAGTGGTGCAGCAACATGAGCCTGTTTGGTTGGTCGCTGGTTTGCTTTAACATTCAGCTTTCAACGCTGAACCTGAAAACATGTCAAATGTTTTGGCAAGTTAAGAGAAGGATCTTCATTTTGTAGCTGTTGTTTTTGTGATGCTAGCTGTGCTAATATGCTAAAAACAGATTAAATATTTGGATTGCTGATCTTATAACATTCTAAATTGTAGTTATCAAAAAATAATTTGAATGATCAGTCTTTATACTGCCAGATCAAATCCAGGAATCACAAAAATCAAATCGATTTGTATGCAATCGCAGCTCTAAACGCTAGAATAACTCGATAACCGTGAACATGATGTCCTTCAGGCCAGATAGTGAAACTAAACCTCTAAAAAGGCTGATGAGCAGCAGCTGTGTCGCTCGTGGCTTGGCACCTGTTGCGTGTTTCTGGCATCGCCGTCTGTGCTGCTGCAGTTTGTGCTCCAGGCTAATCAGAAAACTGATTGTGCTGCTTTTTGTAAGAAGCTAATTATACCGAAAGCAAGATAAACAGGAGGGAGCTTCATTACTTGAATGTTCTCAACCTTTTTATTATTTTCAGCATCATTAAAATACACCAAGACTTTATGTTTTTCATGGATGATACATTTTCTGAATAAAAAAACAACTTTGTTAAGAGTTGAAAAATATTTCATCAATGTGTTTATGTGAAAGAAATACTGAACCCACAACAAAGGAGTTGAGGAACGACTTTGCAATATTTAACAGTTGGTTGGTTGAGAAATCAGTAGAAAAAAACACAATAAACACAAAAAAGTTTAGATGTGTTTGAAAAAGAGATGAAAAGGTTCTGATGTCTAATGGTTGAAATCAACTGCAACAAATAACGTTCCAGGTCATTTGTCATGTGTTGGTTAACATTTATTCCCAGGCAAATTTCCAGTGATCACGATCCAACGTAACCTCCTTCTAATGCATTAACATTTGGTTTTTAAATGTTGTTGAGGTTTAACTGAAACATGCAAACACATTGAAACAGATGATTGATATGTAAATATGCTATTTTAAATGAAACTGCTTTCATGACATTCATGATTGATTAATTAATAAAGCAGCTTTTAAAGCATTAAAAATTTTAACTTGATTAATTCATTTATGTTTTTACATGCAAAGTATCTGGCCAGAATCTTTGTATCTGTAAGTTTCTGATACGCCCATAAATCTGACACACAAACCGCATTTGCTAACAACAGTGATGGACGACAAAGCCACGTCCCTCGGCCCACTGGGGGTTCATTTCTGGTTCTAACATGATCTGACGGGACTCTGGAAAAGTCTGTTATGTTCAAGTTGTGTTAGAAGGAGTTGTCCTATCAGCAAAGCTTTCGAGGCTTGAATAGCATCTCAATGCTAACCATGCTGCAGCAGCATCCCCTGCTCTAATCTCAGTTTCCACAGCTCCACATTTCTGAAGAAGGGATTCCAGAAACTCTGGAAATCCAATCCGATGGTCGAATAACAGATTAAAAACAAAAATTATCTTTGTTGACTTGATACATATTCAATAATTTAGCAGCAAGAAAAGTTTTTGAATTTAAAATTATTTTGTCCATTTAAATAGTTTTTGATTTATTGTGATTAATTAATAACAGACCCTGCAATTAACTCTAATTTTTAATGGACCTCTAGTTTTCGGACACATCGCTGTGTCTGTGACGAAAGGTCTAACCTTCGATCCCCTGCCTGAGAAGATCATTAATACTCTAGAGCTGTACATAAGTCCAGTCCATCTCTTCTTGCTCCCTCTTCCCCGACTCTGACTCAGATTTATGACTTACACTCCTTCATGAACTTCTCTTGGGTAGCAACGTGAACTCACTGATTTTTGTCACCACCAGATTTAAGACCGCCTGAACATTTTACAGTGTCTTTCTGTTTAAAGAGCTCCTCTTTGTGATATGTTCTCTTTTACAGAAAAGCAGTAATATTTGAATTATATACATATTTTATTTTCTATTTAACTACGTTTTAAAGAGCTTTCGATTAAAACAGGATCCTGACTGCAATTCAGAGTATAGTTTTTATGTAACCAACTGTTAAATTTTACCCACAGGTGAATGGTCGGAACATTCTCTCTGTTGATTACGATCGCACCCTGAGGACTGAGAAGATTTACGACGACCACAGGAAGTTCCTGTTAAAGATTATATATGACAATGCGGGCCACCCGGTCCTGTGGGTGCCCAGCAGTAAGCTACTGCCAGTTAATGTGAGCCGCACAAGCACCGGGCAAATCAGTGCCCTACAGAGAGGCCCCACCACAGAGAGACTCGAGTACGATAGCCAAGGCCGCCTGATTTCCAAGGTGTTCGCAGACGGGAAGATATGGAGCTACACCTACCTGGAGCAGGTGAGAAAATCGCATCACCAGCAGAAATAACAAGAAAGATATATTATGCAGCAGCACAGTTTTACCCCAGAAGATAAATCTGGACCTTAAGTTTCCCTGCTGTTTCTCTGATATATGTCAGGGTTAATTAAGTTCAGGAGGCCTCAACATGATTTAAACAGTAAGGCTAATTACTACTGCTACAATTACATTTGTTCTCCACATTTGTGTGAGGCAGTGAGCGGGAGCAGCGCAGCAGGATGTTCTACCTCAGAACGCATTGCTCATCGCAGAAAATGGACTAAATGTGCTACTTCGTCATAAACTCTTCAAAACAAAACACTGCAGACTCATGCTGCTGAAACCAGAAGTTTACATACACCAAAAAGAAAGACACAAAACCATTTGAATTTAAATCAGATCAAACTTTTCTTGTTTACAGTCAGCTCAATTGACCAAAATTATTTTTATTTGCAAAATATCACAATAACAAGAAAAATAATATATCAGAGATTTATGTATAAATGTCTTCAAAATCAGAATTTGACACATATTTCCTCAGTTTTTGCAGTGATGTATATAAATATCTGATCTTGAAGATGTACACAATGAGTTAAAGGCACTTTCACTAAAACAAGTCAAAACAAGGAGAATTTTTGATTATATAAAAAACTGTAAAATGGTGTTTGTGATTAGTTTTAATGACAGTAACAGAAAATGTTTTGGTCAAAATTTGTGACAAATATTTTTCATGTATAGATTTTTATTAATAGCTGCATGGAAAGATTATAACTCAGGATGGTTTTGATTGCTTCATGTTCAGCTCTTTTCAAGTTTTTGCTATGTATTTCACCTGCATATATCAACTGGGTTAAATATTTCAGTCCTCATTTAAGATACATATAAGTAAATAAAAGCTAACTGCATTGATGATCTGCGCATTTTGCTGCTCCATGTCAGAGGCAGCAGCTCTCAGATGTACACTTCCCCTCGTCTCTTGTAGAATGTGTTTAAAATTGTGCTGGAATGATCACCAACAAAAACATGCAAATATGTATTTTTTTTTTCTCCAGTCACTTCTGGCTCCATCCTGTCATTGCATGACCTAGAAAGGCCATGTCAACACTGACACTGGCAGCACAAGGGGCTCAGGAAACCTCAGTGTAGCGACGGATGACTGGGCATGACATTTTAACAGAGAGACTTCGGGAGACAGAGCACGCTCTAAAAAAAATGCATATTTTTGACTTGATTTATCAGGCTGTCTGGATACCAGGAGTTAATAAACTGCTGATCGACATGTATATGTATGTAAGAATTACATTTGAATCAGACTGTATCTCATTAAATGTTTTTAAATAAGTCCTGACCTAGCACACTAGATATCCCTTTTTCTTGGTCATTTTGCATTGATTTGATAATGTGCAGCTCAGGTAGCTCAGGTCTCACACGTGTCACAGTTCTACTTTCTACATTTTTTATGCACAAGGTTTCACCTTTCCTCAAACCAGAAAATTTCTACTTTCTGCCTTGCTTTGAAAATATATTCTGCAGGCAAGCGACTAAAAAAAGCACACTGTGTTTTGCTCTCTTCCCCTCAGTCTATGGTTCTCCTGCTTCACAGTCAACGGCAGTACATATTTGAGTTCGACTCTCTCGAGCGGCTTTCTGCTGTCACCATGCCAAGTGTGGCCCGCTACACCATGCACACCATTCGTTCTGTGGGCTACTACAGGAACCTTTATCACCCACCTGAGAGCAACGCCTCGGTAGCTGTGGATTACAGCGAAGACGGCCTCCTGCTGAGAGTGGCTCACCTCGGGACCGGCCGTAGAGTTCTGTACAGATACCGCCGGCAGAACAAGGTTTCTGAGATCTTGTACGACAGCACGAGAGTCAGCTTCACCTACGACGAGACGGCAGGTGTGCTGAAGACCGTCAACCTGCAGAACGAGGGCTTCATCTGCTCCATCCGTTACCGGCAAGTTGGTCCCCTGGTGGACCGGCAGATTTTTCGCTTCAGTGAAGATGGCATGGTGAACGCACGTTTCGATTACACGTATGACAGCAGCCTGCGTGTCACCAGCGTCCAAGGCGTCATCAACGAAACGCCGCTACCAATCGACCTCTACCAGTTTGACGACATTTCAGGAAAGATCGAACAGTTTGGGAAGTTTGGTGTCATCTACTATGACATAAATCAGATCATTTCCACGGCTGTCATGACGTACACAAAACACTTTGATGCACACGGACGCATCAAAGAGATCCAGTATGAGATATTTCGTTCACTGATGTACTGGATTACTTTCCAGTACGACGATGTGGGTAGAGTCACTAAGAGAGAACTCAAGATTGGTCCCTTTGCCAACACCACCAAATACAGCTATGAGTACGATGTGGACGGCCAGCTGCAGACCGTGTTTCTAAATGACAAAGTAGTGTGGCGCTACACTTATGACCTGAATGGAAACCTGCACCTGCTGAATGCTGGTAACAGCGGCCGGCTCCTGCCTCTGCGCTACGACCTGCGAGACCGCATCACCCGCCTCGGAGACATCCAGTACAGGATGGACGAAGACGGCTTCCTCCGTCAGAGAGGAGCAGAAATCTTTGAGTACAACTCCAAAGGACACCTGGTGAGGGTCTACAGCAAAAGCAGCGGCTGGACAATCCAGTATCGCTACGACGGCCTCGGACGCAGAGTCTCAACTAAGACCAGTCTGGGCCAGCACCTGCAGTACTTTTACGCAGATTTGAGCTACCCAGGATAACACAAACTCCACCTCTTCTACTCACTCCAAGGTGACCTCCAAGGTCATCTCTTTGCCATGGAGATCAGCAGTGGAGAAGAGTTCTACATTGCTTGTGATAACACCGGCACACCTCTGGCCGTCTTCACCAGCAACGGCCTTCTGGTCAAACAGCTTCAGTACACCGCGTACGGTGAGATCTACTTTGACTCTAACCCTGACTTTCAGCTGGTGCTGGGCTTTCATGGTGGACTGTATGATCCTCTGACCAAACTGCTGCACTTTGGAGAGCAGGATTATGATATCATGTCTGGCAGGTGGACGATTCCAGATATCTCTGCTTGGAAAAAGGTTGCCAAAGAGCCGGCTCCTTTTAACTTGTACATGTTCAGAAATAATAATCCGATCAGCAAAGTCCATGAACTGAAAGAGTATGTTGCAGGTAAGATATTTACTTCTTATAGCAGAGAATTTTGATACATGTATTTTTTTAAGAACATATCGTTATCCAGCTGTTCTCCCCTCAACAAAAATACTGGGTCATTTGCTCAGATTAGCTATTAATTAATTGATTTGTCAACTGAAGGATGATGATGAGGATGATGTATGTATTTTTCAGATACAGACTGCTGAGTTTAAGTTTGAACACCTCATACGTCATTAATCAAGGTTGATGTTACTAGAGGGGGATAACTTTTTTTCAAATATAGCTCTTTTGGATGGATAGTTACTTAAATATTGTTTTTTTTTAAACAAAAGTTAGGAGGGAGTCATGAGTTTATAAAGTCTTCTTTCGATTTTGCAGATGTGAACAGTTGGCTTGTAACGTTTGGGTTTCATCTTCACAACACCATTCCCGGGTTTCCCGTTCCAAAGTTTGATCTGAGCATGCCCTCCTATGAGCTGAGGAAGAGTCAACTGTGGGATGATCTGCCGGTGGGTAAAACGCCAAGCTCTTTTATTTACTGAACAGATAAATAGAACCTGCAGCTAATGCAGAAAAAAATTACTTTGTTTACCTCACTGTCTTGAAGGTGCCATCCCTTAATTAGACTGCCATGTATTTCATGGAATATCCACCTTAATTGGTCTATTTTTGTATAATAATTATAATCATATAATGAGAAAGTGTTCCTCCGCCTACCTTCGGTTAATAGTTGAAATGTGTTAAAGCTGTCTAATTTTATATGAAATGCTGCTGTAAAACAGTCTTTGATGTTATTTATGCAAGAAATCCTTAGTCTAAAATCTTAACACAACATAAAGGAAATCATCAGGGATTTATCTACATTAGACTTAAGAACATGGATTAAAAATACCACTGCCTCAAATAGGGATAAAAAGCAGCTCTGTGAAGCCAAGCAGTAGCTGGTTCTAAATGGCCTAGAGAGTCAGGTTCTGCCATGTTCAGGCGTTAACGTTTCACTGCACTTTTCCTACAGTCTATCTCTGGGGTCCAGCAGGAAGTAACCAGACAAGCACATTCTCTCTTGTCATTCGAGCGGCTGCCAGAGGTCCATCTCAGCCGAGGTCGAAGAGGTGAAAAGCCTTGGCTGTGGTTCTCGGCTGCAAAGTCTCCCATCGGAAGAGCTGTTATGTTTGCCATATATAAAGGCAGCGTCCACACAAACGCGCTTAACGTGGCGAGTGAGGACTGCATCAAGGTTGCAACGATCCTCAATAACGCGTTCTATCTGGAGGACCTCCACTTCACCATAGAAGGATGGGACACGCACTTCTTTGTGAAGCCGGGCCTCCCGGACGCGGACCTTGCCGCGCTGCACCTGACCAGCGGACACAAGACCCTGGAGAACGGCATCAATGTGACGGTGTCTCAGTCCACCACCGTCATGGACAGCAGGACTCGCCGCTTCGCAGACGTGGACATCCGCGCCGGGGCTCTGGCTTTTCACATCCGCTACGGCTCCACGGTGGACGAGGAGAAAGTGCGGGTGGTTGAGCTTGCGCGTCAACGCGCCCTGGCGGGGGCGTGGGCCCGAGAGCAGCAGCGGGTGCGTGACGGGGAGGAGGGGGTTCGCCCCTGGACAGAGGGGGAGAAGAGGCAGCTGCTGAGTGGTGGGAAAGTGTTGGGATACGACGGGTACTACGTGCTTTCCATTGAGCAGTACCCGGAATTAGCAGATAACGCCAACAACATACATTTCCTGCGGCAAAGTGAGATTGGGAAAAGGTAACAATTCCAGGTGCATTACCTGCCAAAGAAACTCAGTTTTGGTAGTGAAATCAATGTAGAGAAAATGAAACAGCTGCTGTTATGTACAGAGTGTGGCTTTGTTTTGTAAAAAATAAAATAAAAAAAAGAAATAAGTAAAAAAGGAGGAGAAAAAGGGTCAAAAGCGATGCTGTGCATTGTGACCTACAGACTTCAGAGTAAATGTACAACTACACGAAGCCTTAACATGGCAATTACAGGTCAGTTCCTCTGTAGCACAAGCCTTTTGGACTCGGGACTCCAAAGCAGAGGAACCTGGATGTTTTTAACCAGACGCTGAGCTTATGTAGGTGTTTTATGTTTGATTTTTTTATGTTTTCATCTGGAAACGTGTGGTTGAACAAAGTGTCAATGGAACAGAGGAAATGTTTACATTATGCATACCTGCACTTCTCTAGAAGTACTGGGCCCTTGGATCCACGTTCCTGGAGCAAGCAGCGTTCTCAAGCAAATATTTGTTTTAAAACCAAGAGACTTCTGATGTTTATTCTCACCAGACAACCACTATGTATGCCAGATTTAGCACTGTAAAACATCAATATGTCATATTCTCTTTAAAATGCTTTTAAATGGAAAAAAAAAAGATGTTTCAATACCTAAAATAGTAATTGTGGGAGAAAAAAAGTGCAGCGAAGTTGTGATGAACTTTGTTGAGGATGTGGAGCAGCACAGGTGTGTCTGGGATATCACAGGGACACCATCTTTTGTAAATGATCCAAGAGTTTTATGCAGTTTTTTTGTTTCTTTTTAAGAAACTGAATCAATGTCTGTACAAGTCATTAACAGTAATTTATGTTGTGTTTATACATAAATAAAGTCAAGCTGGTTTTAATTTCATTCTTGATATACTTTGGGATTTTTTTTGTTTCCAGGCTGTTCACACTAATGGCACCATTTTTCTTTACTGAGCTTCAAGTTTCCAATTCTGTCCATTCAATTCTACAAACCTTTTCAGATTTGTTTTCTTTTTAAGCACATTTATGTTTAATAAATCCTGAAAACAACAAGATGCTGAGTTTAGCTTCTAAACTAGCAGTTGTTTTTTTTTCAAAATTTTTAACTTAAATCAACTGAAATTAAAAATCTATAACATTAATATCTCGTCAGATTTAATCAGTTTTGATACCTTTTCTCAAAATCACAATCAGCTTTATTCGCCACGTTTGTTCACACAAGTAAAAGATTAAATATATATATTTTTATTTTATATATATATTTTTTTTTCTTTCTTGTAGTATGTGTGTACATAGTGTTTTTATAAAGTGTAAAACAAGATTGAATTCTTGCAAACGTGTAATATTGGGGAGAAGATGCGTGGGGAGAGAACACACCCCTGAGGCGCTCCACTGCTGATGCTTCTTACATGGGAGAAGTTCATATATTTCTCATATTTAAAAAAATATATATTTGTAAGAAAACTATATAAAACCAAACAAGTGTGACAAGCAATCCAGCTACAAAGTGGCAAACAAAAAAACTAATTAGGGAAATTTTATATAGATTCATGTAAGAAAATCTACAGTTTTATCCTAGGATACATAAATGTATTCTGCAGACTGTCAGTAAAACATTCATAAATGGTGATGAATCTCTAACGCAAAGTCGACTATCACTTCCACTAAATTTAACATTTACTAGGCATAATGCTGTTGACTTCCTGCCCAACAATAAGCAACACAAATATTTCATGAAGTCATCTCTCATAAACAACCCAAACAGAGGTTGGCAGAACAACATTTAGAATTAAAATCATTTCAGGGTTCTGGATGCTTTGGTTTTTAACCACTGGAAACTTCTTACAAATAAATTCTTCCACTTTTAAACATTTTTCAAAACGAGAGGAAAACAACTTAAGCAAGCGTTAATCAGTTGCTAATTTGAAAATCATCAAAGAAAGTCTTCCAAACTGGCAATGTATGAATAGCAAGGGGTTTTTAAATAAAAAATAACCACCACAAATTGCATTAATGATTGAAAATACATCCTTTGAGCTACAAAGCCAAAGAAGACAAATGCAGCTTGACTTTGAAGTCAGCTGCTTGAAGCTGTTCTCATCTGAAGTGTGTGAACCGTAGCTGAAGGGATTCTGGGTGTAATTTACCTGAAAACGGAGCTGTTGACTGAAATCCGCGAGCTCACCGAGGGTCACACTCAAATTTTTAGTTTCTGGTTTACATGCATCTTTGGTTGTTTAATTGCTTCCAAATGACGTTTGCTTTGTGATCAGGATTCCCACTGATCACCAAGTGCTGTTCATCAAAGTGCAGAAGGGTTTCTGTGATGGAATGCATAATTGTGAAAACAAGCCCTTCATAATAAACCTCGCTCTGTTTTGTGGCAAACTTCAAACAGCATCCCAAACCAAATGAACATTTTCTGCACACAAGCTGCTTCCTACTGTTGTTTGACCTCTTTGCTGCTCGTGTCCCCAAGATTATCTGAATGTTACAACTGATTTGAAAAGGTTGACATAATCTGCTTCTTATCAAACTAAATGTAAAGAAATGCTATATTTATGGTTCCAACACATCAGTATAATTAACTTGCATTAATTTATTTTTGTGTTTCCAAAGTGTTTTGATATAACTACCAACAAAACAACACAAACTTCAGAAGATGCATCAAGAAAAGAAAGAAAAACTTTTTTTTAACTTTTTCTTTAAATAAGATTTCTGAAATATGGTGTGCATCATCAGACACTCTGAAAATGCATTTGCTTCTATGAAATGTTGTCATTTCCTGAAAATAATGGAAAGACAAAGAAAATATCACAATATGTTTTTCATTATTTTAGTTCAGATGGAGCCATCATGGCAGCTCCACAGAGCCACTTGTGGCTCTGGAGCTGCAGGTTGGAAACCCTTGGTCTGGAATCTTGGCCAGTGCTAAATATGAAGGCTTCACATATTTCTTTGCCCTCTGATGCTCTCTAGTGGTGCAAAGTGCATGGATCAGAGTCATCCAGTGGACTCGCCTCTAACGGCTGCTGATGCCACTCTCCCAAAAAGGTCAGAAAATGGCGGCGCTTTGAGCTCCAACTTCAAACAATCATGTCAACTTCTTGTGATTATAGAGCCAGATGTTGGGAGCTAAACAATCACTTCTGGAAACTTCAGGTTAATTTAAAGAGACATCAAATGGAATCGCTAAGCCTGTGATATTAGAATGAACCGCAGTGCTGCTGCAGAATCTCACTGCGACCACACTAAGTACAGCCAAGAAACAGCATGCTATATATCACTATGCACTCCAACTAGACCGACTTCAAAGGCTGATATAAAAGGGATGGCACTTCTTTGCAAAAACATCAAAGAACCAAGAGAATTGTGCAACAACCACAACAGAGAACTGGGAAAAAAATCAAGCTGTTTCCATGCTTCAACTGAGCTTCTATAGATGAAGAGCATCCATATAGAATCACGCTTCTGATCATGAAAATCATTTTACATCTTTTGATTTTGTACATTTGGCACAGGTCTGAAGTAGAGATTGTGTCATAAAGTCTTTGTTCTACAGATTAAAAGCTTGGATTTATTCAGCTTCTGATGGGTTGGTCGCAGTGTTAGAAGCAAATCAAGTTGGATTTTGCAGCAATTTATTTTTTTTATTTTGAAGATAAAGACTTTAAAAATGGAATCTCTAATTATAAGCTGACAAAAATTAATACTGTAAGATATAAAACTTATTTAAAATCAACTTATTTAATTAGATTTACTAATTAATGTGAAGTTGGAAGGAACCTATCACAAGAAAATAAATCTCCAGATTTTTAATAAAACAAAACACTTCAGATTCTCTGTGTCATGCATGTTTAATAGAGCTTTATGGTATTTATGTGACAGCTTTATTCATTTATTGTGTTAGATTTCTGTTTACAGCTGATGTGTTACAGTTCAACAAGCATCCAATGCAAGTGTGAATTCATTGTTCATTCACTTTTATGGGACAGATTGTGGACCCACTGCTTTACAGACCTGGAAGTAAGATCATTCATTTAGAGGTGTAAAAAATTCATGCAAAAGTTTTTTGAAAATATGGGAACCATTTAGTTTCATTTGCCCACTTAGAAAACTATCCAGAGCTACACCCACTATTTCTATTTGCAAATGTTTTCCGAAGAGGTGACAACATGCGGGATAAAAGCAGCTCTTGGTGCACAGACAGTGTGTGAACAACAGATGTTCAGAGAAAATCCGGCTTTGTTCACTTGTGATCACAAGCTTTCTGTTAGTCTTTGTTCCCCACATGGCAAGATAACATTATACTTTTATAGAACAGTCATGAAGAATTAAATCTTAAAAAGAAGCTAGACTAAACATCTTATTTAGGAAAAAGGAATATTATCACAACCGGCAGATTCCTTTACTCCAAAACAATGGAATAGTATTTTAACTCTTACAGATTTAATTTAATTATAATTTATTTCAAAAGCAGTTTTTAAATAATGAGGAAAAAAGTCTGTCCAAACCAACTGGGCCTCGCATGGAGAACTAATTGATATTCCAGTTAAATCTTTTATTACTTGTGATTAATCATATTTTTTGGAAGGTTGAGACCAACATCAATAGCCCCACTCCGGTCTGATTAATACCTACCCTGGAGATTCAATCAATCACTTCAAAAGAACCTTTCTGGAAACACGAACCGTTTTAGAAAAACAACACACCACATCGTGATCTTAAAACAGACGAGGAACAAGGTGACCAAAATCCAGCCGCCTGGAGAAACTGCCAGATTTATTTCTATGTGTCTGGGAATCAAAGTTAGAGCAAATATCCACAAACTGGAAAAAATGAGAAGTCAGCCAATTAATATGACTCCAAGAGAACATCAAGAACACTTACAGGACGTCTGAGCAACACAAAAACTGCCTAAAATCACCTCCATGATCACTGAGACATTTGGAAGATGTTTTGAGATATTTCAGAAAGTATGTGTCACATTGCACCAACCAGAGAGCTAACACAGCATTTCAGAAAATGAACATTACAGTGAGTCAAACATGGTGGTGGCAGCATCATGGTCTAGAACAATCAACTTTCAAGCAGAAAATCTTGAAGGAAAATGTCTGACTATCAGTTTGTAACAACTTTATTCTTTTTTTCCTCTTCTTTTTCTCGGTTAAACAGACTTTCACAGAACTAAAACTGAAAGTTTCTCACTGCGGTGAAAAGTAGTTATTACCAAAGTAATTATTGAAAATCCTTACAATTTCAACTACTTTTTACATCAAGTCCATTTAAATGTACATTTTAATGGAATTAAAAAAGCAAAAACAGAACAAATTAGTAAGGGAGTAAATACTTTTGCATCAAGCTGGATGCAGCGCTCCCTTTCAGAATAATTAGTCCTAAAACCTGCAGAATGAACATGCAGGTCACACGGCGACATGTTTGTTGTTTTATTTTTTCCTTGTTTGATTCCTGAACACTTTTCACGGATAAGAATGTTGACATTTAAAATGATGGGCTGAGAGCTGAAAAATGATTAAAAGTTATATTAAGATCACAAATCATAGCTGGAGGCAAGGCGCGCTGCTTGATAAAAACATCCACGCAGCAGGAAATTATGACTGCAGAGTTCAAAGACATGGAGGGGAGACAGTTATACGAGTAAACTTTCACAGGAAGGGTTCACATGGCAGCCAGAACAAAAACAGGACATCTCCTCTCTTCCTTTTTAATCCGCCTCAAACTCAGACCTCCGAGATGACTCACAAAGACACCTGTGTCCTTCCAGCATGATGGACGGGTTTGTTAAGGCTCAGAAAATCTACAATGATGGCTTCATGTCATCTCAAAGACTTCATCTATCATAACCCGTCTCCACTAGAGTCC